ATGGATAGCGCCAAGGTCGTCGTGCTTGACATTCGCTTCCCCACGCTCCCCGTAGTCGAGTTACAGAGACACCAAGCTAGTGTCAACGCCATTGCATGGGCCCCGCACAGTTCTTGCCATATCTGCACCGCAGGGGATGATTCTCAGGCCTTGATTTGGGACTTGTCGTCCATGGGGCAACCCGTTGAAGGTGGCCTCGATCCCATTCTTGCCTATACAGCTGGAGCAGAAATCGAGCAGTTGCAATGGTCCTCTTCCCAGCCGGACTGGGTTGCCATAGCCTTTTCAACTAAGCTTCAGATTCTGAGGGTATGATGCATGTGGGTCATTCCGTTTAACTTCTCAAGTGGTAACACATATGGGATCGTACTTTTTCTGGCATGTTCTTTCCGTTTCTTTTCACAAGCACACTTTGGCCATGCTACTAATTGTTGTTCATCCCTGCTCTTAGAACGTTGAATCGTTGATGTAGCCATAATATGCCTACAGCTGTTTGTACTTCATTCTTTTAATTAGATTTCCTTTGTGTACATGCAGCAACACCTAGCTTTGGTTCTTCAATGAATACACAGATAGTCATGTGTGAGAACCCTCGTGTGTAACTTTGTTGTGCTAGTTAATATCTCCTATGTATCCTTTAAGACCTACACAACTTACAAAAGATGCATACTTGTGTTTCTCTATCTAATATTTACTGGGCTTCATAGATAAACCTCTCTATCTGTAGCAACCATCTATGGAATGATTCATTCTTCTAATGCCATCAGGGTTCAACATACATAACTGAAACTTCTCGAAAGTTGATTCAACACTTGAATTTAGATTCATCCTTGACAGTGCACTGGCAGTCACTCAACTTGTCATTGAATTGAGTGAGATGCCAGTAGGTGGTCTATATAGATGTTTTTTTTTTCTGACAAATATTATTTGAACGATTGTTGAGTAAGAAAATTTAGTGCATTCCTCTAAACTGGGAGAACCCTTCATTCTCAATGATGGAAAACAAAAAAGTTTTCTGCTGGATTTAAAGTGTGCCAACTTTCTATTTTGGAATGGGGTGGAATTTGATGAGAATGAAGTCCATCGATCCGAGCACATGGCTTCTGAAAACATCTGGGTATGCATGGTGCCTTGTTCACCTTGTTTGCCTCAAGCGAGATGATCACCAATGCATAAAGTGAAGCTTTAAGTGTCTGACGCTTCTGCACCAGGTGTTCCCAAGAATTTACTGATGTAGAAGGGGAGGGGTTAAAATTGAAAAACAAAAAGAAAAGGAAGGCTTGGTCCTGTGTGCATCTTCACTCGAGTCTTTTTGTCCCAACCTACCTGCTATCTCCAGCAAAGGACTCTGAACCCATCTGCACGAGTCTCTCTCACCTGCCCACCCGACCCGAAATCTTTTAGCACTATCTAGCCTAAACATTCTCTTCAACTCCCCATTGGTAGTGTCTGCATCTCTCATTTTTTCTTTCCCCCCTAATTTTACTTGAAAAAGTTTTCTTGTGTGGACTTTGCTTTCTCTTGCTCTCTCAGATCCTACTCTGAAAATTGAATCAGAACCCAAGCAGGTAAGCCCTTTCGTTTAATTTAATTACTTACCTTTGTATTATTAATCTCTTATCATGGAAAAAGAAATAATAAAAGAATCTATATTGCTTATGACTTTTCTGTATACTTGACGTCAAAACACTTGAATTTTTTCTGATATTGAATATTGTAGCTTGTATATTTAAATTGTTATGTTTGCTGATATTATTTTTTAAGGTATTAGGTACCACACCATCATATCATACCTAACCCAGGTTTGGCCTTCTTTAGATCTTCTGCATCTGAGTACATGTTGCACTTTTAAAAAGATTACGTATAATTAAGAACCAAAATGGAATAGAAGACATTGTTTCCATACAAAAGCCAAAGAGATTACAAGAGGGCTCTGTGATCTCCTTTGATCAAATCGAGAGAATAATGCAAATAGCCTTTGCTAGGGAGCTCTATTTAGGGATGCAAATCCAAATAACAGGAACCATGAATCTGTTGTTTGGTTGGTTTAGAAATAAAATCAATCAGAGATCAATTTTAGAATGAAAGAACTGAATAAATTTTGATTGAAGTTGGTATGGTTGGTTTTTCCTTCTTTTTTCAGTTGACCGGCGTCAGCATGTTGGTTAATTTGAATTTTCTTTTTTGTCATACTGGTGTGGATGGTCCAGGGTCAAATTTTTGCTCCATCTGGAGTCAAGCTGACCTGTTCATAACCCCACCATCTAGAGTTAAAAAAAAAGGCCTAGCATTTCATCTACCTCTCAATTTTGGACTGAAAAACTTAATAAATTCCGATGGAAGTTGATGTGGTTGGTTTTTCCATTTTTTTCTTCCTTCTACTTTCAGTTAACTAGCTTCAGTATGTTGGCCATTTTGAATTTTCTTTTCGTCTCACTGGTATGGATGGTTCGGGTCAGTTTGTGCTCCAAATGGAGTCAAGCGGACCTGGAGTCAAGTCCGGGTCTAGCACTTCATTTACACTCTACCTTCTTTTCCCCTAAATTATGTGTTTAGGAGGTTCACTGGGAAGGAGATTGCTAACATCTTTCCTAGGATTCTTAGTGGGGCTGCT